TTTATTCTATTATTTCCTATTATTCACACAACTCCACGTCCCATTACAATCCCCACTACAGAAAACAGGCTTGAAGAATGTAGTGATTTGTTCAACGCCACTCAAGGTGGCAGAGCCTCAATCCAAGCCCAGGCCAACCTGACACCAGGGCCCATTTTTTGCCCCGTGTGTGGACCTGGTCTAGATGCCTCCATGCCCTCAAACCAGGGAAGCTCTGGCCTAGCCCACCACCTGGGCGGCACCCACCCTCTCGCTGACCGCGTTGTACTTAATGGCAAGTTCATCGCGCTCGGCACGGCTCTGGGCCAGCAGGTCCTCCACGCGGGACAGCTCCTGCTGCAGCAGCTGGTTCTCCTCCTGCAGCGACAGCAGCGATGCCATCTCCGTCGCCGGCAGCGGGACTGGCAAGGGACAGTGGGTACATGATTGGCTTCTGGGTCCAGTGGGACATCCTCCCCCCACGGGGAGGGCAAGAAAACCATCCAGGCCCCTGAGATGAGCCCAGGTGGGAATGACTGCAGCATTAGGCCTGCAAACAGAGCTGAGAACAGGGAGGAAGGCAAGGAGGGGATACGAAGCTGGACATAAAGTGAACACAGCTCCAGCTAAAGTGTGTCCCAGCAGGTTTTGGAGGTGCAGGAGAGAGGCTCAGTCTAGGAGCCAGGAGACCCCTGAGTTCTTGCTCCCTCCTTTTCCAATTACAGTTCTTCCCCGGAGCCTCAGTTTTACTTATCTGTAAAATGGGTGGGGTGGGCGCGGACTCACGCCTGTAATCTCAGCACTTTGGGAGGCGAGATGGGAAGATCACCTGAAGTCAGGAATTTGAGACTAGCCTGGCCAACATGGCGAAGCCCTGTCTCTACTAAAAATACAAAAATTAGCCGGGCATGGTGGTGTATGCCTGTAGTCCCAGCTACTTGGGAGGCTGAGACAAGAGAATCACTTGAACCCGGAAGGTAGAGGTTGCAGTGAGCTGAGATTGTGCCACTGCACTCCAGCCTGGGCAACACAGAGAGATTCTGCCTCAAAAAAAA